GTCCCCCGGGTGCAGCAGCCGGGCCGCACGGCGGGCACTCAGCGCGCAAACGGTGGGCCATCATCTCCTCCGCGGGCTACGCGTGCGTCATCCGCGACAGCTTCATCGTCGCGATCGTCCTCTGGGGGAGTACAGCGAGGCCGCGCGTGCGACTCGCGGCCGCCCGGGGCACCCACCACGGCTGCTGCACCATCATCCGCAGCGTCACAGGCACCCGCTACATCTTCGCCTGCAACATCACCAGCAGGAACACGTGAGTCCCCCACATACGCGGCCGTCACCGCCGCAGCATCGTCGGCGACACGGCCATCTTTGTCGCCGGTGACAGTTACTGCGGCCCAGGCTACACGCAGCAAGACGGCCGCAGCCCATGTTACCAGCCGTGGCGCCGGGAGCGCCGCGCCGCGTGTATCCACCGCCGCCAGCCTTAAGGCGCGTCCGCAACGGCCGGGTGGCCCGACCAATGGCAGTAGCCCGCCAATAGCAGGCGAGGCGCGCGAAAAGTTCCCCAGATTGCGAGCGCTGTTCCCGAAAGCGGCTTTTGGGGACGCAGGGAGCCGGAGGCCGACCTCCGGGGCCTCGCCACCTACCACCTCGACGGCGAGGCCCTCGACGACGGACACCAGGAGTCGGAGGTCGGCGAGCGCGCCTCCCGAGAAGATCCACGCGACCAGATCGGCACGCGTGTCCCCCCGGACATCTCCAGCCGCCATCACAACTCCACCATCTAGTGTGGGCGGCGGGGGGGGGCACCCAGCTGAAGAAAAAGACGCCCGAGAGGCCCGGGCCAACTAAAGCCGGGCCCACAACGAGAGCCAGATCTCGGGCGTCTAGCGTGCCGGTCGAGAAGAGCGCATGGCGGGCATCCCTGATCAGCCCATCCAAGATCAGGGAAGTCGCGGGGGGGGGGGCGGGGGGCGGCGAGGACGTCACCCCCACTGCGAGAGACCCCGCCCCCCAGAGGGGCCTCCAGCTCGCCACTCAACACCAGTGGCAGCCCGACGGGGGCCCCCAGTTATGCCAGTCCACCCACCACGCCCGCGACATCACTGCCGGCCACCCTCACAACGTGCACGGTGACGACCACCATGTGTGGGTCCCCCGTCATGTCGACGGGGGTTACCACGGGGAGACGGAGCACCCCGCTCCGTTCCCCCCCCTCCCGACGATTCTGGAGGTGGCGTCGCCGTGCGAGAAGGAGCGGACGCGGCCTGAAAGAAGGACGTCACCCCCACCACCACCAGGGGAGGAACAACAGCTGGAGGGCGCGGCGCAAATCTCATCACCCAAAGAGGAGGGGGACTCACTTGGTGCGCCGTGGAGGATGGTGCGCCCGGGGAGAAGGGCGAGGCGCCGGCTGAGCGATGGCTCTTCCGGGGGCGACAGCCCGCCCCCAATAACGCCGGCGAATAATCCTAATAATAATAATGATATTGACCTCGTTTTTAATAATAATAATATTTCCCTGCCTTTGTCTAACCACACCAATGTTTTAGATTCCACGAATGTGAGTGAAGCGGTCCCCTTGAGGCGGGGAGACGAGTCCGGAGGAGCAGCGGGAATGCGTGCTGAGATTCGAGACACGCCCGGACATCCTAGTGTTCCCGTAAGTGTCAGGGGCGTGATGGGTCGTCGGCCGCGGGCACGCGTAACCGGCGGCTCCGGCGCGAGCGAGATGACACCGCCGAGGGCCAACAACCGCCGACGCGGGGGCGGGGGGCACCGCCGACGTCCGCAGCGTGTGGAGGCTCCGCCTGTCCAGCCGTCCGGTGGCCGACCGGCCTCTGCGGCCGCTGCAAAGCGGTCCAAGGAGGAACGCGCGGCTGTTCGTGACGAGCTGGCCGGGCGTGCTGAAGCCGTTGCCTCGATTGCGGACCTGGAGGAGTTCGCGGCCTCGGTCGCGGCATTCTTCGGGGAGGATGCAACGGGTGTGGCGCGCGGGGGTGCGCCCGGCGCTCGCGATCGCCCACATCGGTCGCGTGAGGCGCGGGCCCGTCGGGGCGAGGGAGATCGCCCAGGGCGAGACGGCGGTAATGATAATAGAGGGCCGGCACCGGCCGGCCCTCCTCCTTCGCAGTCGGGAGAAGGTAGTGGTGGCTGGGTGCGCGAAGCAACCCGCATTCAGGCCCTGTACAGGGCGAACCGACGCAAAGCGGTCCGAGAGGTGCTGCAGGGATCCGCTGACTTCTGCCAAGTGCCGAAGGAGCGGGTTCAGCAGTACTTCGAAGGGCTATACTGCGGAGGGGAGGACCTGGCTGGCCCTGATGTGGAAGCGGAGCAACCTACTCCCCCGAGTCAGGCCGGGGATGCTGCATGCCTTATGGATCCCTTCACGTGGCGGGAGGTGGATCGTCGGGTCCGGCGTATGACGAACTCTGCGCCGGGTCCCGACGGTGTCACTTACCGTAACCTGCGTGCAGCGGATTCTGGCATGCGGCTCCTCACCGCATGTTACAATGCGTGCCTCAGGCTCGAGGCAGTCCCCGCTTCCTGGAAGACCTCCAAGACCGTATTGGTCTACAAAAAAGGCGATCGGGACGATTTGAATAATTGGCGCCCTCTCGCGTTGGGAGACACGACTCCCAAGCTTTTTGCGGCGCTTATCGCCGATCGTATGACCGAGTGGGTGATCAAAAACAAGAAACTAAGTCCGGTGCAGAAGGGTTTCCTGCGGGACGAGGGGTGCTACGAGCACAACTTCGTCCTTCAGGAGATCCTGACGCACTGCCGGAGGACTCGGCGGCAGGTGGTCGTCGCGTGGTTGGATCTTTCCAATGCGTTTGGGTCGATCCCCCACTCGACGATCCACCGTGCTTTCGTTCGCGCCGGGGTGCCGGGGGGCTGCATCAATATATGGAGGTCCATGTACGATGGATGCTCCACGCGGGTGCAAACGGTCGACGGGCTCACTGCGCCCATCCCTGTTCGCTCGGGGGTTCGGCAAGGTTGTCCGTGGAGCCCGATCGGTTTCAACCTTGGTACCGACGTGTTGCTGCGTGCAGCTAATGCGCTCGATGTGGGATTGGAACTATGGGGCTCTCGCTTTAATATCCTTGCGTACGCGGACGATATTGCACTCGTTGCCGATACGCCCGAGGGAATGCGGAGGCTTCTTGCCACCGTAGAGGCCGCAGCGTTGTCGGTGGGTTTGCGGTTCAACCCTGCTAAATGTGCCACCCTGCACATCGGTGCGGGGGCGGGCAGCAGGGTTCTGCTCACAACGTTCGAAATCCAGGGACAGCCTATTCATCATCTGGCAGAGGGCGAGCCTTATCGTCACCTTGGCGTACCGACTAGATTCTCGGTTGACGCTACACCATTTCAGACCATTGATGGTCTGCTCGGGGGTCTCCGGGCGGTAGACCGATCCCTGCTTACCCCGTGGCAGAGAGTCGAAGTCGTTGCAACCCACCTGTTGCCGCGGATGGACTTTCTGCTCCGGGGGGCCGCAGTGGAGAAGCGTCCTTTGATAGCTGCGGATAAATTGATCCGGAGGGCCGCTAAAGCCTGGCTCAATCTCCCGCAGCGTGCAAGCGCGGAACCAGTTTACCTCCCTCCCAGCCGGGGGGGTTGTGGACTGCTTCCGCTCGCCGACCTCGCGGACGTCCTGTCCGTCGCGCACGCCTTCCGTATGCTTACGGCTGGCGACGAGACGGTCAGGGGGCTCGCGTGGGCATCGCTGCGGGGGGTTGTAGCGAGGCGTATCGGCCATCCTCCGACTAACGAGGAACTCGCGTCCTTCCTTTCGGGTTCGCTCGAAGGTCGGATGCGAGACGGCGGTGAGCGCTCCCTGTGGTCGAGGGCTCGGAATGCCGCGCGGAGACAGTCCGAGAGATTGTCGCTTCGGTGGGAATGGTGTGCGGCTACCGAGGAGATGATGGTGGTGTGCCGGGGTGCCAGGGGCGCGACGGTGAAAATGCCACCAGGAGCTCGCTCCCAGGTGGTACATCGCTTGCGCTCAGCTGTAGTAGAGTATTACACTGACCGGCTACTAAACAAGCCTGACCAGGGGAAGGTGTTCGAGGTGTCGTTGCGGGCGAGGGCGAGCAATCACTTCGTCCGTAATGGCAGCTTCACCCGCTTCGCCGACTGGCGCTTCATCCACCGCGCCAAATTGGATGTCCTCCCCCTTAACGGTGCACGCCGTTGGGGGGAGCCGGACAAGAGGTGTCGGCGTTGCGGGGGGGCAGCTGAGACCCTTCCCCATGTTTTGAACCATTGCGGCGTCCACTCGGCCGCCATACAGCTGAGGCACGACGCCGTCCTGCACCGTCTCTGGAAGGCTTGTCGGCTTCCAGGAGATAAACGGGTGAACCAGCGGGTCGAGGGCGTCGAGGGGGAACTTGAGGGGTTACGGCCTGATCTCGTGGTCAGGCACGAGCCCTCCAAGAGTGTCGTCATTTGCGACGTGACGGTGCCCTTTGAGAACCGTTGGCAGGCGTTCGAGGACGCAAGGGAGAGGAAACTCGCCAAGTATTCTCTCCTTGCTGAGGCGCTCCAGCGCAAGGGGTACCGTGTGGTCGTGACGGCCTTCGTCGTCGGCGCCCTTGGCTCGTGGGATCCGAACAATGAGGGGGTGCTGAGATTGCTGCGCGTGGGCAGCGCGTACGCAACTATGATGCGCCGTCTCATTGTCTCGGACACCATTCGCTGGTCCAGAGACATCTACGTGGAGCACGTGTCCGGCGTGCGCCAGTACGCCGCTCCTTCGCGTCTCTCCGCTGACGGGATACCGGCCACTCCACCCCGCGAAATTCGCCGGCGTTGGCCCACCAACGAATAGGAGCGGCGCCTTTTCTAGTCTTTTGTGATTTTTGTAATACGAGTATGAGTGTCGCGTAATTTATTATTATTTTATACATTGAGTGGCCACGCAGGTCACTCAATTAATATTGTACATAGTTCATTGTCCTGCCCACGACATTTTATACTGTTTGTCATTTTTATTTTTTGTTTATTCTCATTCTACTCTTGTTCTTTTTTATCCATACTTTTCTATTTTCTTTCTTTACTTCGTATTGTCTCCACTTCTTGTATTTTACTTATTTCGTACTTATTTGTGTGGGCATACATGTTCCGAGAGTGAATGCCGCGAACCTTATATTGTATTTTACCCGAGTATGAGTGACCGCGAGACAAGCGTTAGCGCATTTTATTTTATCAATGAGATATGCCGCACGTGGGCCCCTGGGTCAGTTTTAACTGACGTCCACTTACTGTGATAGGCCCAGGGGCCACTCAACTGTGATATTTACGTATTTATGACCGCAGCTGGGACTAGTCCCCCAGTGCGTCCTGCGATAGCCCACTGGCGGGGGGGGGCCTCCTGTCCCCCGCCCATGAAATTTATTAAGTCCGACG